ACCTCGCTGGACCGTCGGTAATCTGGGCCAATAAGTAATGCAACTGCCCACTGAAAACAATCAGCTGTTGACCAGGACAATTTCTGGTCTCGTAGTCTTAAATGTGTTTGTCAGTGCACTCATCACTGGCTCTTTCCAATCTGTCCATCATGAATTGGGCAGCAGGTTTGTACAATGAGACATAGGACTTCAATTGCCATGACCAATCATCTCACTTCTCTGGCCCTCCGGAGCACAACGGTGGTGGGAACAATTTGATTTCACCTCCTAATCCTTTGAGGTCACCACATGATGCCATTTCAATGACTATGGAAAATCAAGATAGCCCTGCAATCTCAGCGTAGAGCTCCGCTACCATGAAATTGTCAGGCTCACAATATGTTCACAGTCAAATCAGATTGATCTCAATCTTGGAATCAATCACAAGCGCAATGCAACTCAGCTGGTCTGATGCAATCACTCAGCTCAACCTTTGCTGCGTCTTGAGCCAAACAATCAGTATAGTGAAATGTCCAATGTATACATGGTGTGCGCAATGTGTGGAAGTGATCAATGATCCTAGCGTTGAAGGGGGGGCTTGAAGGCGCTTCAAGGGGGCTTGAGCAGGGGGGCCTGAAGTCTCGAAGCGGGCTTCAAGGGTCTCCCAAGCCTTGTTCTTGTCGCTTCTTTGCTTGCGCTTTGAGAGCAAAACCTTGTGACCGGCCTCAAGCAAAGGTACAAGGTTTCTTTGAAAATTCTTACGCTTGAGAATGCAATCACTTTCTTGAAGAAACGCCGCATTCTGCTTCCAGGCAATGAAATCTTGCTTGTGCCACATCCCAAGCACCTTGAAAAGTTGTTTGCGTTGCATGGTCTGAAGGAAGATTGTTGCAAGAAGACGCTGTATGATCCCAAGTTGGATGAGCCAGACACGTCTTCTCTCCTTGAAGGTGCTGATGCCAATGTTTTCCGGACTTCATTTGGCATTTTTCTTTATCTCAGCCCAGAGCTAATTGAGTGCCAAAACACCCTTCGAGCCTTGAGTGCGTACATGGCTAACCCCACACGTCAGGCCATGCTGAGTTTGCGCCATTTGGTCAAGTACTTGCTTGGTGCGAGTGGCAACGGTTTGAAGCTCAAGAAGGTTTGCGGAGGCCAAGGTCATGCAGGTTGGTATGATGACCCAATGCCACTCGAGACTCAGAGTGATAGCGACTGGGCTTCCTCAAAGGGGCATTGTCGCAGCGTGGCATCATCCATGGTGTTTGTAGCAGGCAATCTGCTGTGTTCGGCAAGCCGGTGCCAACGTCCTGTCAGCCTAAGCAGCGCTGAGGCTGAAGTCCATGCTGCTACATCAACGATATGTGATGGGATCTTTGCAAGGGTCCTGATTGAGTTTTGCACGGGTCATTTGCTGCAATTGCATCACCACCTCGACTCATCAGCCGCCGTGGGCATCCTTCAGCGTTCAGGCGTGGGCCGCGTACGCCGCCTCTCCGCGCGTGTGCTTTGGGCCCAGCAGGCAGTCTCAGAGGCCAAGGTTGTGTTGCGCAAGATCAGCACGGATCTCTCTTGAGTTCATGGCAGAGCAGCAGTTTAAGAAGGCAGTTAAAGCTGTCCAGCAGGTTGCCCCAGGTCAGGTGAAGGCCCGTGTGAGGCAGATCATGCTAGCTGTTTTCGTGAGCATGGCCAATGCAACGAACGCCTTGAGCCCGGATGATGAGCCCGATGATGGATGGATGAGCCCGATGTTGAGCCTTGTGTCCGACACTTTGGCATGGATCATCGTGCTTTACGAGCAATATCCTGCCTTGTTTGCAATGTGTTTCCAGGTTGTGCTGCTACTCATGATGTTGGTGAGTTTCAGTGTGTGTGTGTGTGTGTGTGTGTGTGTGTCAGCGGAGGGCCATTCCCGCAGCACCAACACAGCAGGTGAATGACCAGATGAGCACAGGGTCACAATCGCCACAGGTGTTCAATCGTCCGCTGAACATCAACATCCACATGCGCCAAGGTCAGGCAGCCCCAGGCGCTCCAGCAAGGCCATGCAATCTTTCGGATTCAGGTGATTGCCTCAGTTGCCGGAGGTGCACCTTCCGCAAGCTCAGCACCAGCAGCGTTGAGTTCTGACGTTGATGTTCCCGTGTTGAATCCTGCGCCGGAGGGTGTGCCTGCAGCAAGGGCAAAGGCTATGCCCAAGGCAGGTGCCAGAAGCGATAGTGTGTGGGTCCCAAGGAACGGTGGGAAGAAATATCATCGCGTAGGGAATTGCGCTCACAGGGTTGATGAGGTCACCGTGACGGAGGCAAGAGCACGTGGCTATGCGGCTATACGGCATGCAAAATTTGCCAGCCAAGGACGGAGTCAGAGGTTGCGACCGTGCAATCCCAACATAAGAGAATTTTCTTGATCATGTGTGCTTGGCTCGTGTTGGAGTTGGGAATCATGCAGCGGCTCGCCCGAGCGCAGCTGTGTACCCATCATTAACACGTTGCCATTGTGCAAAGCTTTAAAAGTTCCTTGGTTGGGAAAACCATGCAACCGCACCAATGATTTTGGTTTGAGCGCTGAATTTCTTGAGTGTTCCGAGAGGGTATTTTCTTGATATGGGTACATTGGAGATAGCCCATTTACTTTAGGATAAGGGTCCTATTGCAATTTCACTTGATGGGCAGCGCAGTGCTGCATTAGCCAGCTTGAATTGCCATCATGGCCGAAACCACGTTTTGCACTTGCTTTGCTTATCAACGACTTGATTTTGCGTTCTTGTGCAACGCCTTCGCTTGGGCGAGTCAAGCGCCCTAGCTCCTTGAGTCGCCGGGATGGCGTAGTTTGTATAGCGTAGTGAGTGTAGTAGGCCATGCGTAGTTTGTATAGCGTAGTGGGTATAGTTCCCTGACAGTTGTTCAAGCCAGCAGAGTTTGAACTGCACTCAACTTTTGTTGCTTGTACGCTGTTGTTTGGAACACGGTGTACTCCCAAAACGTTTGAGAATCCAACGTCTGCGATGTGAAGCCCAGCAATGATGGAGGCGGGGTGACAAACATTTTGTACATGTACATGTCCCCGTACTTGTATTTCCCGACTAGTATGTTTTATCATGCATGTGAAACCACATGTTGACCATGGATTGCATACACAAGCGTTTGAGTGTTCGATGAAAAAGAATCACTAGGTCAACAATGAGATTTTGATGTTGGACCGCTTCGAATCTCCGGGATCTCGGGAGGTGTCTGCGCTTCAGAAGCCCCGTGTGGTTTCAGATGAAAAGGTTCTTTTGGGTTTAGTGGAGGACGTGTCAAAAGCCCACCGTCGTTTTCTCTGCCATCCGGAGCAATGGGGTGTGTTGGTATGCCGGTCCGTGGTTCTTTGGTTTAACAGGACCGGGGCTTTCGGGGTGGCGTCGGCCGCCTTCTGGTTTTCCAGATTGATGGGTCTGGTGGGCCGCCTATCTTTTCGGGTCATGCTGCAGGCCTTCGTTTTCATGTTGATTTGCGTGCCCAACCTCCACTTGCTCAGTGGAGGCAAGGACAAATCGTTGCACTTCTGGATGATGTTGGCGCTGATGTGCATACAGGGTACTCCCTTCTCCAGTCACAAGTGGAGGGGGGGTTTTCAGATAGACTGGGTTGGCTACTGGATTGATTACACTCGGTTCCATATTGGAATATCTGAGAAACACTGCCAGTGGATCATAGTCACCATCACTTCCTTAAGCGATAATGGCGGGCTGGTAGATGTGCGCCGGTTCCATGAACTGCATGGATGTTCGGGTCTCAGGTCCTCGTGTGGATACGTCCGTTCTTGGCTCCGGGATGTGCCAGGCTTGCTGTGGTGAAGAAAGGGGCCGTTTTATCCCTTCCGAATCTGGTTTGCTGCGCTCTTCTTCTCATTTTGGAGCGTCTCGGTCTTGAGCTCGTACATACCCTGCTGGAGTGATCGAGAGCGACCTTGGGGAGATCTTTCGTTTCGGACAGCGTGGTACTCGGTGGCTGGTTTTCCATCAAGGCATGGATTCGAGTCAAGCCCCTTGGTTCCAAGTTGGTCTGACCCAAGAAGATGCCCCCTGGCTTTTCCGTGACGGATCCAGCTCGGGGGCGAGCACCACTTCAGAGTTGTTGGGGTCTATCGTGGCTTTGCATCTGCTTCGAAAAGATTTTTCTTCGCTGATCAAGGGGCGTGGTTCGCTCCGATCTTTTTTCATGGGGGGCACGGATAACCGGATAACTCTGCTACGGAGGCACTGTCCGTGAAACTCTTGACGACCAAAGTGCCCCGTATGTTCACGGTGATGCAATTTTTCCGGCCCAGAGGGGCCAACGAGGAGGCAGATTGCTCACAAAAACGTGCTTTATGATTTCAACAAATCTAAGCGCATTCCCGTGACCTGGTCTGAAATTGATCTTTCTGTTTTGGATTCTTTTTTGGGCTTTTCCAACTTCAGATCAACTCTGGATGAGTTGAGATTAGATTCAGCGTCAGTTGCACAGCCTGCCATGAGCAGGGCACGCTTTGAAAAATCCCAGTGGGAATCAAAACCGAAGGCCTGTTCTTCGATGGGGGTTACGTTGACACCGCGGCCTTTTTGGCATATGTATGCGACATGTGCTATGCCATGCTCAGGATTGCGTGCCTTTGAGTTTGGGCTGTGTGTTCCAAAGCGTTCCGGTGCTTGCATTGTTTGCTGATGTCACACGTTTTAGACCTTCACCTGTTTCCCCCGCTCCCCAAACTTTGGGTTGATTCCTCTGGAATTTTGATGTTAGGCTTCTGGGGTCCAAGATTCGGAAGCATTGCTATGCATCATTTTCTACCTGATTCCATTGTGGTTATGTGGATATTTGTGTAGAACAGATGTAAGCATCATTGCTCGGGTTCACAGTGAAACACCTCTTGTTTGTGTACCAATATTGTCGCTGTGTATCCGAATTTTTATGAAGAGAAAGTTTGCTATGGTTACTGTTAAGTGCAGATGCGGATGCTGAAAGTTTCGCGTGTTAGTTCATGTTTTCGTTGAGCTTATGGCTCATCTTACACCGTACATTCCATGCATTCATTTTCGAGCTGATTGCAAAATGCAATCTTTACAGGGACGTTTTGTTGGAGTCCTGATGTCCTTGGGAGCATGTGTATACGCCAAGGGCGATCTGGATACTACCTGCTCAGAGTCTCGTGTTTCAGCGAGAGGCAACGCATTGATGCAGCTCGATCGTTATGGGCGTACAGTCTTCGGTCCTCATGAAGAGCGTGTTGCAGTGGCTTCTTTCATTACACCAGAAGATGCATTTGCCTTGAAGCGACGCTTGTCTCAGAATGCCACTGTGTTCCATGCGGATGACGTGCCAGCTCTGGAGGAGGCGAATGCGCAACTGTTACTGCAACCATTGGTGAAACAAGTTCCTTCAATGATTGTGCATGTCGCCACTGCAGACGCAGCTGTGATTGAATGGATTTTGCAAGACATACATTTTACCTTGAGATTTGCAAAGTTGAGGTGGGGAAGAGGCCAAGTAGTTACCAGCAAGATTTTGCAGGTTCTTTCCATGATTGGTTCAGAGTACACAGGTATTATGCCATATACTCGTTTGGTAATTGACGCTAGGTTTACTGACAGTTGTCGTGCAAATGGCAAGTTGACTGTTTTGCTTCTTGATTGAGGACCTGCTGGAAGTCCTGCGTTTTTGTTTCCCACGACGTCTGCGCCCTGTGATTGTTGCAACGGGGCACGACTGGAATGGCAGATCTTCTGGTGCTGGCGCAGTACGCATCGCTACTCCAAAATTGTGCTGGGTTCATGCAGAAGGTGACAGTGCGCGTGTAGGTGCCGGATGTACATGGGGACACATTTGGAAGGACCCTTTCATGAAGTAAGACTTGTCCGAGCAGCTGATGCTGGCAATCGTGCTGTTCGCTTTTGTGCAAAAGCGCAGTGTGCAGCCCCAGGAATTAGAGCCACTGGGACACATCGGCGTGGGTGGCGCGCTGGGCACTGTTTCAATAGGAGGCTCACTGCAGGGCGGAGGGCATGGTGGCCTTTCACGGCGACTCAGCTTAGATTTCCACTTTTCTAAAGGAACCTGGGATCCCCACTTCAAACGGGCAGTGCAGAGATGGAAGCACAGTACTTGCACGTGGCCTGGGAGGCAGCACGGTTTAATTGCAGACCAGCTGCTTGCTGCGAAAGTTGCTCTTGCAAATGGTTCAGGAGACCGGCACTTCTCAGGGAGACATGTATATCGTTATTTGATTTGTTTCTCGTAGTACGTGTTTCATGGCTCTTTCCAGGAGTTGTTTTGGCCGATGCAGATGGACCACATGCTGATCTTTTTCGGGCATTGCGCGGAGGCGGTGGTGGCACCTACGGGGCCGTTGTTGAATTCACCATCCGCATTCATCCATTTCCGAAAAACTATTCTGTGCTTCTTTGCTGCAGAATTCAGTAAGGGGCAGCGCTTGATTTGAACATGTGCTTTTCTTGCTCAGGTCCATTGTGTCTGTGCCTGTGCGGAGTAATGACAACAAGCCCGATGCTCGGGCCATGACGAAGCGCTTCTTCCACAATGCCAGCGGGTGGGCGCAAGTTCCAGATTCCTGGGCTGGATGGCATGAGGCCACCGAGCATCACAGGAGCCTTTGTATTGTCATGTTCATATTCAAGTTCAGCTTGGGGCTCGATCGAGGTGAACTCTGATCATGATGGTGAGAAGTGGTCTGGGAGTCTGGCCGCTTGGCTCTTCCACTGGGGACAGCGGCCTGAGGAGGCTCGTGCGACCTGCTGTTGTGCAAACACGTGCAAACATTGTCAGACACTTGCGAGCTAGTTGCTGGACGTATGCATCCATCAGCTGCTTGGCTGCTTGTCCGGAGGCATGTCTGTCTCACGGTTGTCCGGTGGCAATGTCAGAGTACTTCAACTTTGTCGGCCAATGGCCAGTTGAGGGCAACTTGCACATGCAGATTCAGCCCCTTGCTGGAGCTTTACTAATTTGTTTCTCTTGTCCCTGGACCTGACAGCCCTATCCTGTGCCGCATGGCTAGCAGATGCTAGCAGTGGCTAGCATGCTCAGGTCGTACATGCCGACACGAATCAAACCATCTATGCTGAAGAACTCCTTCCTGTCGAACTCTTTCGTTTCGCTGGCAGACTTGGAGGATGAGGCATGATCAGATGGCTCGTCGTGCAACAAGAGGTCAGTTTGCTTATGGGACGTGCATCATTCTCGCAGGAGAAAGCAGGCAATCTCACAGATTTGGTCATTGATTCTGCGCTCAAGGCACTCGACCGAAAGGAGGCCTTGGTGGCCACTAGTGGCAAGAAGACCATCTCGAAATCTGCACTTGCAATAGCTTGCAGTGTCTAGCGAGTCCAGCATAAGATTCTTTGTCGTCAGCGAACCGTGCCGACAGACTTGCCAGGTGATACATTGGACGTACAATGACGTTCTAGGTGGCCAGGTACCTACACATGGGCAGGAGCTTGCATGGTGTGGTTTTGTCCAGACCTTGTGACAGCTCTTGCTTGGACAATGGACAATGAAAGGACACCGTTATTTCGCCTGGCTTCCGCACTGCAATCTTTGAGGTGTGTGTTGGGAAGGAATGGAAGGAATCAGATAATGACCAGCAGCTTGAACTCTTGGAGTTCCTGATCCCCCTTATGACCGAGCTTAATAGTTTGGCCACAGCGCTGTAAGAGCCAAGGCAAATCAGCCAAGTCGTTCCCATCGTGGATAGGCTCTATGGTCTGGGATTAGGCTCCGGCATGTCCTATTACAACGAGGTTACACGCTGGCGTGGTCTACATGATGTGGATGACTGGAAGTACCGATTCTGGGGAAAAGACACCTACAACTTTCTTCACAGAGTGAAGCGAACATACGACCCCTGCAACATCCTGTGGGTGGACCGTGGCGTGGGGTCCGAAGATCCGACAATGACTTGCTGAGTGACAAGTGACGGACTCAGATGGAACCAGAAAGTCTGCCAGAAAGTCTACCACTTCTTGCTCCATTGGCCAAGAGAACATGATGAGTCTCAGCATGTCTGGAAGCCCGATGACATGTCAGATGTGCATCTACTTTCAGCCATGTCGGGCTCTAAAGTGCTTGCAGCGCAGTACTCAGCCTAGCCGTGAACTCATTGCAAACACCGAGCAAAGCTTGACGGACCTGTACTACACGCATCTTGCATGAATGGAAAGTGGTACGGACCCATGCGTGATTTCCGAAAGGGTGGCCTGCTTAGATCCTTCCCCGCCTTCGGCACACAGGATGCATCCCCTCCATTTGTACCCTTCTTAAGGTGTTGGATCCTCGTCATTTGCAAGACCTGTCTGGACATGCATACTGAGCAGACCATTGCAGAGTTAAAGGACAGCCATGCTGGGACCAGGACAGAATTTCTGTCGAACCTAATCCTTTGACAGGAGGAACTGCATGAATCTGCTTTGCTGGGCGTAGAAGAGTGCCGGCAGAGTCTTGGCTGCAGATGTGACATCATCACTGCCGTCATTTGAGTTCTGAAGTCTTAGGGGGCCTGGTTGTCTCGGCTACAAAAGACTTGTCATCCGAGGGCAGACAACCTAAAACGTCGCAATGCAGAGCTGGAGCGCGAGCTCCAGGAAATTAAGAACCTTTCTCCGTCAAGCGCCGCCAGTGCAAGTGACTGGAGATGCTGGAATGCACAAAGAGCATCATGGAGATATTCCACTCAGTGCATTTGGCCTGGTGGCTCACACGAGGAATGCAAACCGCCTGTTCCTAGGATGGCTAGAAGACAGCCGGCGAAGTGTCAGGAAGCGTGCCAGTGCGACCAGCAGCGAGGGCGGTATTCCTGGAGGTCTGAGGACTGCTGCGAAGCTGTCACTTGATCGCTTCAAGCTCAATGGGCAGGTGTGACGTGAAATGCTCAGGAAGAAAGCTATGGCCGCGCAGTTTGACGAGGACCTCGACGAGTTCATGCGTGAGAACGCACAGTTGAAAGATCAGGCGATGTAAGTTGGCGATGAATTCCACACCCGCTGCCATCAATGCTTGCCATCATCCCTCGTCTATTCTCATGCGGGCATGAGTATAAAGGTCTCACGTGCAGAAAGATCAAAGCGGGAGTTGGAAGAGAAGCTGCGAGAACTGGAGATGGCTAAGCCGATCCCTTTAGCAAGCCCGCCCGCAGGCCCCAAGTGCTCTGTAGCTCGGTGGGTTGTTGGAGCAGGCTTTTGGGGCTTTCATGCAGGCCAAGCAAAAGTTGGGCTGCAGGCGTCGGCCTCAGGCTGTCATTTAAAATGAGGATGCAGTACACTTTGCATGCTAGAGTTGTGATCGATGCCAGGTTCAGCACAAGGCGAGGGAGATCAACTGGGAGAAGGTGCGCGAGGCTGTGGCCTCAGATCCTATCGCCAAGGAAGCTTCCATGGAGCTGTGTTATCTGCCCTCCATTGCACAGCTCATGCTGATATAGCCAGGAACTGAAACAAGAGGTTGAAGCAGAGAAGTTGCAAGTTGCTGCTCTGCAGCTTGTTAGCACTACTGAAGGCTTGGTGAGGCTGGCATGCTTGTTGTCGGGTGAGCCTAGCCTGGAGGTGTGATGTTGCCCAGAGATTTCACTCAGGAAGGAAGACATCAGAAAGTTTCGGAAGCAGGTGCTTTCCCGGCTGTTGCAGTGGTAAATTTGTTGAAGTGCCTTTCCTGGGCAGGCTTCCAAATCGGAAGAGAGGATTTACCATGAGCTCCAGGCCACTGGGGTGGGTGGAGCCGCGTCTTTCGTCATACTTCTTTGCGTTCAGGAAGAGAAGGCATCTAGAATTGGTGAGCTTCAAGAAGCACAGAGAAACCACGAGAAGGTCCTCTCGTCGTTTTGCGTCTCAGTGCCAACCTGCTCTTGGGCCACAAGGAAATGAAACGCTTGCGGAAAGATCTAGAGGCGCACGGAGCTCTGGTTCTAAACTTAGCCTAGACTTCCGGTGTCGGGAGTAGTCTATTGGGTCCAATTTCGAATTTTGCATTTGTCACAATCCGGCACTTTCATTGCATGACAGAGGGATCATCATGGTACAGGTCCTCAGCCATTGCTGCCTGTATATATCCTCTGTAGCAGATTCGGTTTCAAGGCAGCATGGAGTATGCGCATGATTGCCCAGAAAACCTTTGTGTTCGAAATGTTTGGACTGTGCAGGCTGCGCGGTTCCAGCTCCTGGCGACAAACTTTCGGGCCTCGCCTAGCCTCGCACCACCTTCACCGGGAGGAGAACGGCTTAACAGCAGCTGGGTGAAAGCAGCAATAAAACACCAGTCTTGAAGTTGCGTTTGAGTGCTGCGGCGAAGTGTAAGGGAGAGTATTGCCACAGCTTCCTGATGCCAAGGCATCCTGAGCGCTCGCAGCGACGACGAGCCCTCACCTTTTGACTTCGACACAGGCTCCCAAAGCCATGGCAGACCAGAAACATCTCAGCCATCGCGACCTTGAAGATAAAGGTACTGGTGATGCCAGCCTAGCTGATGAGCTAGCTGGCCATTTCCAGTGGCCTTTGGATCAGGAGAATGGGTTACTTGCTTATCTCTGCTTCTTGATGCTTATGTTGGATAACTTATCGACAGCCAATATTCTGCCAGTCTGTCAGGAAGCCTTGCACTTCCGACTCCCCGAAGAAGTTAACGAGCTCCGCATCGAATTGCGACAAATGCAGACTTTGCAAGAAGGCCAGAGGGACCAGAAATGTTTAACTTTCAAACGCAAGGGTTAGAATTCATGGTCTATTGATGTTGTGACACTGAGCATGGTTCTCCCTTCCCGGGCAGGAAGTGCAGAAGTTGAAGCAGCTCCCGGACTGCAAACTGTAGGGAGCTTGCCTGAAGGACGATTGAGCGGCTGTTCTTGTAATGTGTTGTTTTGCTTGTTCACAGCGCCGCTGCTCCTGACCCATTGCTAGTCTTGCTGGAACATCTCCAGCTCACGTCCCACTTTCCCCTTCAAGCTCCGTCCATCCAAATCCTATGGAGTCGAAGTCTTCATGCCTGGCTTTTCATGCATGGACTCAGTGTGCATCATCCTGTAGTGCGAGCCTGCCCTCATGATCCTGGATACAGCAATCAACTCCGCAGCTTCCATTGCAGGAATGGCTTGCCCAGGAAGAATTAAGCAAGAACATTGTAAACAGAAGGAACGGAAGTTTATGTAAGGAAAACCTGTTTGCTGGCCTGTCCCAGAGTGACGAACGATTAGCTTCAGCAAGCCGGAGGAAAGTTTGACCTGCAGTCCTTAGCAGAAATGATGTCTCACCACCCGTAATATATACAGAGCAATGTGTTGTTGTCACATAATCAACTGACTGCTCCATTCTTCTGAAGCTTTACGCTGCCCAGCTTGGTAGCCACTGTCGGCCTGCAAACACGGGCCGATGACCTGATGGTACATATCGAGTGTCAACTTTGAGATGATTCATTCAGCTTTCGCAGCCAAACATGAACCCCTTGGCAAGGCTTTGTTCGCGGCAAATGAGAGACTGACGGCTCAAGCTCAGGACGTGCAGTAGGCTTGGCACGATTCAAAAGCCTGCGATTGGACAACTTGATGCCAGGAAATGCATATTCTTCACAGAGAATATGAAGGCTTTCAGGAAGAGTCTGCGCGCTTGGGGCCTGTGCTTGATTCATATCCATGACTTGCAGCACCAAGAGATAGCTGAGGTAGGACTCAAGATTCTGCCATGCCAGTCGAGGCAGGGTGATTTCGTGAAACAAGTTCATTCAATGGGCATGCCTCACCAAAGCTTTCCGCCGTCGTTCGCAGTGGATGGAACCTTCGGTGGTTCTTGCTTGGAAAGTTCCAAAGCTTAGATTGAAGAGTGAGATCAGAACAATACGTCGATGCCCCAGGCTGCTGCAGCTCCGGAATCGCTGCCAATTATAGATGATAGGCCAGGTTCGCTGCACGTTAACTGGTGCGATGCTCGTACACATGTCAAGCAGTTGTGTTGTTGCTCACTGTACGAAGCGTTGCTTCCTTGTTTCAGCTGGTGAGCTGGACCGAATTCTCCAGCATAGTTGATGGCCACACACAAGCCAAACAACCTGTCATTCGCACCTCGGCCAACCCCAGCAGCAGCGCCAAGTACACCGCAAGCTTCTGGTCGTCCCTCTGGCCATCGAGTGCTGTGAAAGGGGCCCAGTGAAGTGAAGATGCCTTGGGTCTTTGAAGGCAAGTCGCTCAGGAAACGGGCCAGAGCGCACGTCCTCTTGTGATGTCTATCGACGACGGGAATGCGCTATGGCTGTACGGCCTTGTTAATGGTGCATTACCACTAAAAGAGCCATCAGAGCTGCAAAACTCGTGCGGGCCGACCCTCCACAGAGCTCATGTGCTTGACCCATGATGTGAAGTGACGTCACCACATGCATTACCTTCGAGGCCTGTCTTTGGCCCTGGTTCGCCTTATCAAGAGTTTTTTTGATGACGCATCCTAGGATATCATCACTTCGGGCACTTAATCATATCACTTCACTCACATCACTTCAATCACTCTGTACGCGAGTTGTGTCGGATGTTGCCTGAACAACTTCTCCACCACTTTGGAGTTTGGGACGGCCTCTCCCTCAAAAGTGCAATGCCATACGCAGCTTGCTGTTGCCACTGGCCTCGTAAAACAGACTGGAGCACCGCAGTCCTGCGCATTCTGCCAATTTTCCTCCGCAAGGAATATCATGGAATGTTACCTGGAAACTTGTCAATCTCCATGCAGATCGTTAGCACGGTGCAGTGCATTAGTTTCATTGCAGGAGTCGTGGATATCACTAACACTAGGCCGGGGAGGTGGTAATGGGAATGGAAGTGGAGTTCCTGGGCACTCGTTCATGGCTGTTCTAGACAGCGCATTTTTGCTTGCTGCTTTTGCTGTTTTTATGTCAACTGGCTGGCCGCGCGGTGATGGAGCTTGGTGCCACCATGTCCCTGCACGAACGGCGGCCCTGTGGACATTCTGCAAATCAATCAATCCAATGCTCTGCAAGGGCAGGTACACATCTGTAGGTTGCCTGGCCTTTCCCGAGCTCGCGATGTCGCGGTTTTTGCGAGTGGTGTTCATGTTGACAGGGATTTGGCGTGTCATGTTCAACGGGCCGACGCCCGTGGCCTGCATGCGCAACAGCAGAAGTCTTGTTGGAGGGGACGGATGGTGCCAGCTCCCCGAATGGGAAACGTGCACGTGTGGCTCGTCTTGCCAGGTTGGCAAATGCATTTGCACGCTTCACGAGCTGCTCTTGCAATACGAGTAGTAGTTAATCAATTTGCGGATACTATGGTACCCAATATAGAGAGAGATTCTATCCTCCTTTTGGGTATAGTATTTTATATGAGGAATATTAATCTTACTGGGATTAAGCACCAAAAAAACGCTACTCGTGTGATATATGGTACATTGCACGCATTGCTGACCCGAGTCAATGCGATGCCGCGGCGAGCATTCATGGAGTGCCCGCGCGTGTCTTTTGGCCTGACTTGCCCACTGTGCGGGGATGTGCCAGAACTCTGCGATCATCTGGCTTTCATTGTTTCTTGGCACAACTTTCCAGCTGTGACCCAAGCAGTGGCTGGTACTTCACTAGCATCACAACCGCACGCTACGGCGCACGATGCGAAGATTGTGCGGCACTGGCGGGGCACCTTCATTGGGGTCAGTAGAAAGACGCGCAAATTGCATAGAGAAAGGTCCCAAGAGGAGAATTTCATGTAAGTCGAGCTTGCTAGAGTGCTGTGAGGATTCCAATGTTGCAGCACAGCTTCACCCTTCTAAAGACTTCCTGAGACATGGCTGCACGACAGAAAGCAGGCAGACATAGCGTTTGAATCGGTGGCATCCAGTCGCCTGCCAAATGTCTCGCCTTTGGTGAGCAATACAGCGTGTAGATTAGTACGCAAGCGAGCTGTTCTTGCTGGATGGAGCATCTTCCCTGGGAAGATCCAACGCCCATTTAACAAGTACAAGACTATGATCCCCGAACCGCACTACTTTTTTGGGCCGATGCTTGAGGATGGATCGCGAGGCGGGTGCGGTTGTGAAAATCCAGGATCGCGACCCGTGACCCTTATCGGTCGACTTCGTCACTCCTTAGGCCAAACGCCGCCCAACCTAAGCCACGCTGCAAAAAGGAGGAGGTAACAACGGCCGACACGCAGCCTGCAAAACGAGGTTGTGCAGGTATGCTCTGTGGGCAGTCGGTTCTGGGACGTGCGCCTTGCCGCTTCCGGAAGAGGCAAAGGTCCTAGACACGCGCGCCTTTACCGTCGGAACTGCCTTTGGGCATGCGCCCACAATGCATGCAGTATCTTACGCAAATCTCCTAATTCACCAGTTATTTGAGAGGTGATGACAATGACAAGCTGGCATGTAAGTTGCCAAGTTGTTGATTGTAGGGCCGGGGTGGGTCAGAAGAGCTTTGATTCGGAGTGCGAAACTCCGAAATTCTCAGTGTCAGAGCATCGAGCGAAGCGACGTCTCGGCTTGGGCAAGGCTGACTTTGACAGTCCGTGTTGTGTTTGAGTATATGTTGACGTTGCGGGCGGCATGGTGTTGGAAAGAATCGAAAGATCCCCAAATTGTGTTGCAATGGTTGACACACCCCGTTGTGTTTTGCGGACGGGCCAGCAGTTCCGACAGGATGAACACGTGTTCATGGACAAAATCTTTGTCGTTCAGACGCGGGCTTTCCTCGCGATTGTTTTCTGCGGACTATGATGCCTGCATGAAAGGTTTTGGTCCGGTCCGCGCCCCAACGCCCGAGCACGTGTTCCAGCGGTGGAGCGTCGGCCGTCGGGCACAGCCAAGGGCCGTGCCAGCTACAGCCTGTTGCACGGCCGCCGGTAGGATGCACCAATGGGGAAACCAAGGCAAATGTGCCCCGCACGCAGGGACGATGGATCGCCATCGTCGCTGACGGCTTCCTGCTGTGGCATGGCTCCCGTCACCTTCTGAACCCACCTTTTTTTTGCATGTTCTGGTTTGGGCATGCCAGCTGGCCCGGGTTGGAGGTCCACATCCCCACAGGTGTCCAAACGGTCGGTGGGCTGACGCTGCAGCACAGCCGGCCGCCAACCCAATTTTGTGAGTTTTGTTGTCAATTTTTTTTGGTGCGTCCTGGCCGATAACAATGCCCGTGCTATCAGAACAACGGATGGGCAATGGTACCCGAGCATACGGATACCGACAGACCATCCAGGTTGGCCAAGAATAAAAGAGTAGCATTACAAGAGTATGCTTCGGCATTCGTGCTTGACGGGTTTTAAGGTTCCTTTCTTGAGAAAAATCCAAGCCCAGAGAACAACGGACACCCAGGAAACAGCGGACCCCAACGGGCCTGGGAGCGGGCCCGGGCCCATCCTGTCTGCCAGGCGCAGAAAAAAATTGGCATGGTTGTCGATTTGTGCGTATCATCCTTGTGCTGGGGCAATGCTGATGTTGTCAGTGTCGTTCGAATTTTGTCGGATCCCGACGGGAATCCGGTTTGATGCTTTTTCGGGGGCCTTACTAAATTCGCTAACGGCCAAACCTCGCCGAATCCGCCGGATGTTTTGCAGCCTCCGAATTTGAGTGTCGGCAAACCTGCCAGCCCGCTTAGCTCTGACGTGCGGGCTTGTGTGGGGCGGGCCGGGAAGCGGCCAGCTTTTCTGCAAGGCCTCGGAACGTGGTAAACATGGTTGTGCTCTCCGATTACACAGCGTGTGAGGGACGCGCCGAAGACCCGCAAAAAACCCGGGAAACACACCTGAAAATGCAACAACGATTTTTGGGCAATTTGGTGACGCCCTGCGATTCGTTCAGGGCATCCGAGCTTGCCGCGCGCCGCCAACGGTGCGACGTGCAGCGGCATCCGGTTGGCCCCGACCATGGTGGAGCATCCTGTCGGTCGCGGTGCAGCAGGCCGTGGGGACCGCTGCCCTTGGTCGTGCGTGGCTTTCCGCTTCCAGCGAGTCCGCCGTCGTGCCCCCGCCCCCTGACAGGCTGCTCGAGCAAGATGCAGGCACTGAAGGCACAGCGGTAGATGGGGAGGGGCTTCTAAACTACACCAAGCCGGTGCAGTCGCAAAAATCCGAAACAAGAAAAAAAACAATCGGGAACACTGCCCCCATTTTCATTTCGTGTTTTGGTTTGCATGTTCTGGTTTGGGCATGCCTGGTATCCCGGGCTGGAGGTCCACGTCCCCACACACGAGTGTCCAAAAATAAAAGAAATATTCAACACTTCAAAAACATATCGCCACCAAAATGGCTTAAGAAAATAAGAATAAATCTTAAGTATCGCACCCCCGAAATTTCCGACTGATGTATACACATTGAAAATATTGGAAATGCAAGCGCAGAATACTTTAAACGCAAAAACGGAAAAAAGGATATTAGATAAATCGAAATTTTAAGACATCCCATCCCAGTCTTGTGATTTTTGTTGGCGGATTTCTTTAGCCGCGTCCTGGCTTCTGTGTTTCCCTTGGCTTCTTGGTTTTTATTAGCCTTTCTGGATCCATGGATGCCAGGTTAACAACGTCCGCGCCATCAGAACAACGGATAATCATTGGTACTCGAGCATACGGATACCGACAGACCATCCAGGTTGGCCAAGAAACAAAAAAGCAGCGTTACAAGAGTATGCTTTGGCATTCGTGTTTGACGGGTTCTAAGGTTCCTTTCTTGAGAAAAACCCCGGCCCAGAGAACAACGGACACCCAGGAAACAGCGGACCCCAACGGACCTGGGAGCGGGCCCGGGCCCAGCTTGTCTGCCAGGCGCGAAAAAAAATTGGCATGGTTGTCGATTTGTGCGTATCATCCTTGTGCTGGGGCAACGCTGATGTTCTCGGTGTCGTTCGAATTTTGTCGGATCCCGACGGGAATCCGGTTTGATGCTTTTTCGGGGGCCTTACTAAATTCGCTAACGGCCAAACCTCGCCGAATCCGCTGGATGTTCTGCAGCCTCCGAATTTGAGTGTCGGCAAACCTGCCAGCCCGCTTAGCTCTGACGTGCGGGCTTGTGTGGGGCGGGCCGGGAAGTGGCCCAGCTTTTCTGCAAGGCCTTGCAGGGAGCACGGAAGGTGGTAAACATGGTCGTGCCAGTTACAGGGCGTGTGACCGACGCGTGAACGACCAGTGAAAGAACCGGGAATCACACCTGACACTGCAGTGACAATGCAGCAACGATCTTCAGGAAATTCGGGAGGGCTGCCTCTATTTTTTTTGTGTTTTGGTTTGCGTGCTCTGGTCTGGGCACGCCGGCTAGCCCGGGCTGGAGGTCCACATCGTCACACTGGTGTCCAAAAACAAGAAACCCGTTTAACCTCTCATTATTCTATCGCCTTTTAAGCAGTGAAAAAACATATAAAAATTCCTTTGCATAGAACACCCGAAATTTCCGATATATGTAAAACAAATGAAAATTTTGCCAAAACACGTACAGAGACAGGTCCGTCGACGACCATGGGTCATGGTCAGAGTGAAAATGAATGATCTACATCGCACATTTTGGAATACCAAGCACATACAAACAAGCAAATACACAACGGGGTGGCTATCCGGATGTAACACGTGGCAAATTACAATTATGTGCGACGAATATATATGTACAACAATTTGCATTCAGCGAATGAATCTCATATCTCACATGCCTCAGCCTGGCTGCACACAGCGTGGACGTATTGAATGTTGTGCATTATGTCGCGGGCAGTGTTGACATCATCACGTGCAAAATACTTGAATCGCAAAAGCGGACAACTTGAAAGATGTTAGATAAATCGAAATTTTATGATATCCAGGTGTTGCGATTTTTGTTGTCGATTTTTTTT